GTTTCTCTACACAATAATCAACTACTGATTTTACCACTTCACTTAATATACGGGACTGGGCGTGATGATTTCAATGCTCTGAGCACACCCACGGCTTAGACCCCTACACATGCATACGGGTCAATTGCGGTGGTCTATGCACAAGTCAAGGTACCAACGTTGACACGCCCGCTTGTTGGTACAAGCTTCCTTCGCTCGCATCAACCTCATTCCTGTACAGATGTGCGCGCGCACAGGTATAGAGCCAGTCTCAGTTTGCTTACAAGGGTCAACACCGCAAGGAAGAGCGTGCAAACAGGTGCCTGACCCTAACTGTGGTCGGGGAGATAGGTCCAGCCTTCTTAGCCGCTATTAGCTCAATTAACGCAGACTTTTATAATATTGCCACAAGCCTAGATGTCGCCGTCCAATTACGCCTTGTATGAATCCCCAAGGGAGAACACAACAGCAAGGGCGTAGGAAAGGAGATCTCTTTATGTACTATTTACTGGAAAGTTAAGGCAAACAGAGCATGTAGTTAGCACTTGCAATCGGACCAATCAGACTGTGTCCTTGAGGGGTAGCATGTCGATTAGCTTTCCGGTTTATCCGAGTGGTAGGGCAGAGCACTAATCGCGGCCGGCAGCTTGTGCGATCTCATCATGCGCACGGCCCGTGCCGATCGATTGTGCATCGTGGGGCGAGTCATCAGAACAGTATGATAGCGAGTCTGTTAGGCCTGATCCTAACACAAACATCGACCGCTTACTTGCCTGAAACTGCATCATTTCCTGGAAATTTCACTTCAGTGCCATGGGGACAGGTACTACTGCCTTTGTCGAAATTGAACAAGAGCTGAATAATTTTTCACAAAATGCTATCCAATTACTCAAACCTCCTCCCTTTAACTAGACTTAGTTGAACCATGTTTTTTGCTTCATAGAAACTGAAAGTAAACCAAGGTGTAGAAATTCTATTTGAAGGCAAAAATTGAGGGAAATTAATATTAAGGGAGAAAAGGTTGCCTACCTGTAGTCGTAGCGTTCCTACCTAGATGTAAATCTCCCCCACCTGTGTAGTTCGATTGCCCATTTTAAATAAACTATAGGCCCCGGGCTCATCTCTCAAACAACCACGTAGTTAGCAAAAAGAATGCCGTGTCATCTCGCCTATCAATCAATTAGAGTATTGGATAGGGTACGGTCCAAAGTAGTCCTGTATTACAGATAGTCTTACGCTAACCCCTAGGAGAGGGGGGGAGTTAGGGCTAGTGATTTCAATGTTTGTGAGGGTTAGGGTTAAAGTTTGGATGCAGGAATATGTAAACCGAAACTCTGTAATTTTTAGAAAGGCCAACTTCCTGCGGGAGTACTGTATAATGCATGATATAATTGTAATTAGCTGCTGATCTCCGCATTAAGAAATGTACGCAATTCTAGTTTTGTTTTACCTGGCCGACATTCAGCCCAACAACTATGTCCGCGATTGTGCAGTCTTCAGTCTCTCCGGACCTGTGGGAGACCATGACATTCCAACCATTACGGCGGGCCAGTTGAGCGGCTGCCAGGGCCTCAGTGAAGGACCCGATTTGGTTGACTTTCAAGAGCAGGCAGTTACAGGCTCCAGCATCGATGGCCTTACGGACGCGATCAATGTTTGTGACGGTCAAATCATCGCCAACGATCTGAAGCGAGCAAAAAATAGTATGTGGAAAAAAAGCTGAACAAGAAGGTAGATTAAAATTTAAAGCGGCTTGCACACTTTGAAATCGGTTACATTATAAACATATTGTTTCTGCCTTCTTTATTTACGCCGTCCGCTCCGTCTAGCAGATAAACACGTTTTGGCCTTCTTCGATTGCTTGGCAGAATGCCCAATAAGGATGGCAACGTTTGTAAAATTGTTATCGGTAGGCCACAGAAATCGGCTGATTCTTCTGGCACACAGTGTTTTTCCATGGAACCGTATATAATCTGTCATTCTTTTAGAGATTTTGCAGAAAAAAATCGTCTACAGAATTTTCGCGGTAAAGGCAGGGCTGTAAGGATGAAGCTTAGTGTTACTGGTATCTTCTTATGTTGCAGTAGAGGTGCGATAGATATGAAGTGACTCCACCTCCGACGAGACGCCAGGCACGAGGTCATGTGATCACAAGTCTTGACTCGTCTCTGGGACAGCCAATCACAGGTGCCGCAAACTGCAACCATTGTCCTCTTGCAACATGGCGCACACGTGCACATGGAGGCCTACCAAAGTCAGGTCTGGCTAATCATCTCCCCGAGGCTGGCTCACACAAAGACTGCTTTGTAGGTGCTTGTGACGACCCCACGCTCTCACACCTCGGATGCCGACTCCCATGGTCGGACGCATGCCTGTCCGAGCGTCAACTTCCTCCACTCCTTCTGTGCATAATAAACGATTCCTTCCACTCTGGTCTCTCACTTCTTCTCCTTCCCATAAGGAACCGAGCCTGAAGGTATTAGTGGCAGGGGTTCTACCTACTAACTCGACCCACTGACATGGATACATGCCGCAAGGCAATGATCAAATTCAATAAGACACTAATAACGCTTTCATCATGTTGCAAACTCTGAACTCCATGGACAAAAGCTCGCAACACTTAACAGCGTTTCTATATATAACTGAGGTGATCACATGTAAACAAGTTGGGTATATTGATAGGCTTTTTACCGTTATCATGGGTTGTATGCACGACTTCGTCGTTTTCCGTCAGGATGTTTTGACGCAGCCGACCTACGCCTAAGCGTATATAGGCTTAGGCTCAACCGTCGCCCACTATTAAAGCCAATTCCCGAAATAGAATTTGAGGAGCCAAAGCTAACTGAGCAGTATTTGCAGACAGTACTTCCGGCGAGGACGAATGAGACTGGAATGGTCATGCCCGGCTTTTCAGTCGTCGTCAGCCAGTCAAGTGACAATTCAACGAGCTCGTAGTAAATGTTCAGGGCGTTAGACTCTGATCGAAAAGATCGCGAGTTCGAGCATCGGGTAGTGTAGCACGTGAGGTTGGGTATGACTGGCTGATGATGGTTAATAAGCCAGAAATGGTCGTTGCAGCCTCCTTTATCTTTGCCGGCAATACTAGCCGTCTTAAATACAAATAATTAATCGATAGCAGGCTAAAGGACGGTT